GTCTGAGTTCAATCCCTGGTTCCACCAAAAAATAAATAAATAAAAGCAGTTGATGTCTTTCATTACTTATCCAAAGTTTCTTTTATAAAAGAAGCACAGAATGAATTTCTCCCAGAATTTGAAGCCAAGATGCAGTCTCCTTCCCTTGAAGTAGTTTAGCCAAAACAACCCAAAACCACACTGTATCCCTTTGCCTGGGTAACTAGGAAGCCTGGAAGTGAACTCTCTAGGGCAGAACTCCTCATATCCCTGGCTCTAAAGAGTTAACCTGCCTTCCCCTCAGTGGTTCCTTGTTTTTCTGACCTAAAATTAAAAATTTTAGGGCTAGCCAGATTGCTCAGTGGACTAAAGTGCCTGCTTAAGCAAGCACAGGGGTTCAATGCCCAGCATGCCGTGCCAGCCCTGCCCCCGGGGTGCTCTGAGAGGGCGATTGAGACTGAGTGTGGTGGCAAGCACGTGTAATCCTACCACTTGGGAGGTTGAAAACAGGAGGATCACTCAAGTCCGATCTATTTAGTGAGACCCTGTAGACTCTGTACTAAATATATTAGAAAAAAAATAATAAAAATTTTTGTTTTCTAATTTTAAAAAATATCTTGCTTTATTGGAGCTGCCTCTGCTCCTTTTTGGAAGGAGGGTGGATAGAATAAATAAAAGACAGTAGAAAGGAGGCAAGGAAATCATAAGTAAAAACAATACTTTTAAGAAGACTACAACTTCTAGGATACATTTGAAGTCACCCACAGTGATCCTTTGATTAGTTTAGACTCCATTCCTTCCAGAACCATCACACTCAAAATTGTTCAGGAATACCAAATGTCTATAAACTGGCTTAGTTGAGAAAGTAAGGAACAGGAGCCTGATCATAAGATAAAGGAGCAGGTTGAGAGAATCCAAAGAATGTTTAGAGAACACTTCCAGGGGGGCCAGGGAGATAGTTCAGCAGCAGGAATGCCTGTCTGTCAAGTGCAAGGTCCTGAGTTTGATCCTCAGTGGGAAAAAAAAAAAAAAA